CTTTCCTGTGCCTAGTGCAGAGGTCATGGACGAGGTCCACGATGTCTGCACTAGCCCAGGCGGGTGCCTGCCTCTTGCAGTCCCGGGCAACTCTCGGGAGCCGCCAGCCTGGTCCCGGGAAGAGGGGGAGGGCTGGGGGGCATCAGGTGGCTGGCTCAAGCCGTGCCAGGTGCAGGGTCTGCTGGCTGGGTGCTGGCAGGCTTGCACCTGGCATGGGCATCGTAGCCAGCCCGTGCCCCTTTAAGGCGTCCGAGGCCGGGAGGGGGGCATACGAGTTTCCCTGGTGTTGGCCAGAGTGGCCACCAGGGAAAGCTGGGGAGGGCTAGCCTCCCACTAGTTCGAATTAAGGGTCTACACACCCCTTAATTCGAACTAGTACGATCGAACTAGGCTTAGTCCTCATAGAATGAGGTTTACCTAGTTCGAACTAAGCGCTCCGCTAGTTCGAATTAAGTTCGAACTAGCGGAGCGCTAGTGTAACGCCTATCAAAGTTAATTTGAACTAACATCCGTTAGTTCGAATTAACTTTGTAGTGTAGACATACCCTATCTGATTAGGATGAGTCTGGGTGAATGGGCAAAGGGCTGCTTGCTACCCTCCAAAACTGGTGGTATTCCCAGCTGCAAATCCAGCTAAGCTTAACGCTGCTGGTAGCATCACTTATATCTGTTCTGCACATTCACTCTTCCAGAGAGGATAAAAAAAACCAATGGAAAAACAAGACAAGGTCAGCTGATGTAGGATAACTTCTGAGTAAGCGCTGGTGCTGGTGGTGCGAATCAAAAGAAGAATTTATGGGCAATCCCCTTGGAGTGGATGCAGCTTCCTTTTATTGCACATCCCTGGAAACTTTGGGGTTTGGAGGACATGACCTCCTTTCACTCTTCTCCCAGGAAGAGCTCTCTTATGAAATCTCATGGGATCAGTCACCAGAGTGTTTTCCCTTCTGTTTCTGAGTTTTACTGAGTGACATGCTACAATATGGTCTTAAGCTGTTGGGCATGATCTTTAGAAGCAGTAATACTGGCAAAGTCTATTCAGTTATGTGTATTGGATTGGACTATAAAACAAGTTCAAAGAAAGTCTTTGAGAACTATGACTATAACTGATGAGGAAGGAAGCAACATTTCCCTGTGCTCTACCTCTAATATTATATCATTCAGAATCCCAAGGATTTTCATTCTACTTTGCTAAAAGTTTACTGATATTTCTCCATATTCAAGTGAGAGAAGTCAGAATCCTCTTTATTCTTGCCCTAAAACTACTTTCTCTAGTAGGGACTTTATTTGGTTCAGGATGAAATGGAATATCTGAGATTAAGCTCTGGTTCATGACTTCCAAGAATGTCACTCCAGCAGTACAAAAGAGTGATTGAGAAAGATGGAAACAGACATGCTTTTAATATGGGAATATGAGAACAATTAACTCTCTAAAAATGATTCCTCTGAATTGTGTATTTATTGCCTCATCCAGAACTCACTGAAGTTAAAGAGGCTTAAGCACATATGGTTAAGCATATGCATAAGTGCCATGCCGTATCGCTTCCAGACCTTGACACAGTAATGTGTTTTTATAAAGTGGAAACAACATCGTTGCAGACTGAAGCAATTACTGCAACTCCTGTAATCCATTTTCTAACTTAATCTCTGAACTCTGTGTAGCAGATATGAAGATATTTCAAAAACCCACATGTCTCCACACCAACTCCATCTTGGTTTCACTACTGGGAAAGATAAGAGGTGTAAGTGGAAAATCTAATGGCTATTCCAAGACTTTTCACAGTTTCAGAAGTGATTATGATTTTCTTTAGATTCTAAAATGAAAATAAATGCAGCTTAGAAATGGTGTTTAGGATGCTATTTACAAGAGCAATCCATAGGAGGACATTAGGGCTGTCAATTAGTGACAGCTGACTCATACAATTAACTCAAAAAATTAATGACAACAAAAAAAATCACTTACCGTTTTAATCATATTTTCGATAAATTTCTACATTTTCAAATATGCTGATTTCAATTACAATACAGAATACAAAGTTTGCTGTGCTTGCTTTATATTAGTCTTTTTACAAATATTTGCACTGTAAAGATGATAAAAGAAATTGTATTTTTCGGTGCACCTCATACAAGTGCCGTAGTACAATCTATTCTGAAAGTGCAATTTACAAATGTAGATTTTTTTTTTGTTACATAACTGCACTCAAAACCAAAACAATGTAAAATTTTTAGAGCTTACAAGTGCAGTTAGTCCTACTTCTTGTTCAGGCAAACACTTTGGCCAGGTCTACACTACACGGGAAGGTCAAAATAAGATATGCAACTCCACCTACGTAAATTACATAGCTGGAGTCAACATATCTCAAATCCTTGTCCACACAGAGGGAGTTCAACAGAAGCAAATGCTCCTATCAGCTTCCCTTACTCCTAGCGGGGAGTAGGAATACCAGTGCCAATGATTTGATCTAGTGTGTCTATATTACACCTGCTAAATTGAACCCCAGAAGATTGAACATGGCTCCAATGATATTCCATGTAATATAGACGTGCCTTTAGAGAAACAAGTTTGTTTATATTTATGGGTGAGAATGCTGTGTGCTTCTTATTTACAATGTCACCTGAAAGTGAGAACAAGCATTCTCAAGGCACTTTTGTAGCCAGCATTGCAAAGTATTTATGTGCGAGATAGGCTAAAGATTTGCATGCCCCTTCATCTTCAGCCACCATTCTAGTGAGCATGCTTCCATGCTGATGTTGCTTGTTACAAAAATAATACATTAATTAAATTTGTGACTGAGCTTCAGGGGTGAGAACTGTATGACTCCTGTTTACCCACATTTATCTCACATTTCTTTTGTGTTTGACAGTGCAAATATTTGTAATAAGATAAATATAAAAAGAACACTATTTACTATGTATTCAGTGTTGTAACAGAAATCAATATATTTGTAAATGTAGAAAACATGTAAAATATGTCAATAAATGCTATTCTATTAGACTGTGTCTACACTGGGCCACTTATTCCGGAAAATCAGCAGCTATTCTATTAGGCTGTGTCTACACTGGCATGAATTTCCGGAAATGCTTAAAACAGAATAGTTTTTGTTATAAGTATTTCCGGAAAAAGAGCGTCTACATTGGCAGGCTGCTTTTCCGGAAAAAGGGCTTTTCCGGAAAAGCGCGTCTACATTGGCCACAGATGCTTTTCCGGAAAAAGGGCTTTTCCGGAAAAGCGCGTCTACATTGGCCACAGATGCTTTTCCGGAAAAAGGGCTTTTCCGGAAAAGCGCGTCTACATTGGCCACAGATGCTTTTCCGGAAAAAGGGCTTTTCCGGAAAAGCAGCCTGCCAATGTAGACGCTCTTTTTCCGGAAATACTTATAACAAAAACTATTCTGTTTTAAGCATTTCCGGAAATTCATGCCAGTGTAGACACAGCCTTACTGTTTAACAGTGCGATTAACCACATGATGAATCACAATCAGGGATTTTTCTAAGCTTCGTGGCCTGCCTAATAAGCTCTGGGAAGGGGCTCAGAGCTGCCACGCATGAAGCTGCTGCAGTTGTAGGAGAGACCCCTCTATCCAGGCCAGAGGCCCAGGATCATTTTTGTTCTAGTTCTGATTGATGTCCTGACCAGACTGGTCCAAGGAGACCCAGATGACACTGCCTGAAATCTAAATACTCCCTGAGATGTGAGACTTTGCTCCCCTCACCCACCCTCCCAACACAGATGTACAATTTTTCCTTCTCGATTTTATTTCTTTCCTTTCCTATTTCTCTCCTTTAACCTTGGTTTAATAAATTCCGACTTAGCCAGTTAATATATCTCTATATTTTAGAAATGTGTATCTATGTGTCTGTCTATCTGTGTGTCCATCTGTGAGTCAGTTTGTTTAATAATTCCTCCTAAAAGGTAAGAGCTAAGACCACCAAATTTGGTAGGCAGCTTCCTCTTCTCCTATCTTAAAGTAAGGTCAGTGTTTGGCTGTCACTGGAAAATGGGATCATCCTGAATTAGGAAAGGGAGGTGGATGATCAGAGGGACTACGATACTATAGAGTGACAACTGGACTAGCAAAAGAGCGGCCAGCTGGGGCCTGGATTCACCATCTTGCCAGGCCCAGAGAGTACTGCTTGGGATGGCCTGCACAGCCCCCTTCCATGCACTTCCTAGATTAGGACCAGGAGGTGCCAGCAGGGCCGGCCTACATGGCCCCTCCACAGTTCAGCCCCTCTTTCCTTGGTACGGGCCCAGGGAGTGCCAGCATGGCTGGCCTCCACAGCCTCTCCCCCATCCTCCATCCCCTGGACAAGCTGGCACAACCCCCTTCCCTGGGGACAAGCTGTTGTGGGAGGTAATCGGCCCTCCTCTCCATGCTGGGTTGGTCCCGGGAGAAGCTGAAGACAATGAGGGGCAACCTAGAGTTGGCTTCATCTCAGTGGGCTGCAAGATTGTCCTACCCAAGACGGTCTCCTGGTTTAGTGTACCTAGGATTTGCGGGGTCTAAGGATGCCGATTGAACTGTAGCAGCACTTTCATTGGATGCACTTAGCTCTCATAGTCAACATTGTGTGCAATCAGCACGCAACTTACTTCACTTGCCCTTACTTTAAGTGCTTGTCTCTTTTGTAATACCAGCAGGAAAAAACAACATGAATGAAAACCAGTAGAACCTGGCAATCCTGCACAGGGGCAAAATGTGCAGGAAATAATAAAAATTATAATGTTTACAAAATGTCTTATAGGCTGCATGCAGCTCTCAGACAGCAGGTTGCCCACCACTGCTATAAGAGCTAATAGTGGGCGGTTTTAAAGCATGAACAAGCAAATAAAGGATATGCCAGAACTTCAGCTGTGTTTTCTGTAGCTCTTGTTCTCTTACAGATAGTCATATACTATGAGCATAATGTCAACTGAAGTTTCACCATTCCACACTTCAGCAAACAGCAATGTTAGCAATAACAACAACACTTTTTGTTACACTATTCTGCATTCATACCTCAAATCCCTGTGGTCTTCCTAGACTTTCTTTAATATGTTTCCACGCAACCAGAATCTCTGATACAGACAAACCTGTAGCCTTGACATCAGTAGGAGCAGCACTGGGTTCTGTATTAAGAAAAAATGAAATCATAAACTGCTGCTGAAACAACTTGTATATATCAAAAGCACGACCACTGAAAGTGTCATATACCTCCTGTATTGCACCTTATTGCTCAGCATAAAGCTTTGTGGCTGTTGTAAGTATGAAAAACTGAACAAAATAAAAAAGATTTTCTCTATTATATTTCTTTATTTGTGTCATGTTCCTTCAATATCTTATTACAGACAGACCCAGTAATGTATACAATGAAGAACACCCTTTCCGTGACCGAGTTAAGTGATTTCTTTTCAGCAACCTTTAATTCTTGTCTTCAACATTATCCACCCCTCCCCCAGGTCTTTACCATCAGAACTGCATGACTGCATAAATAATGAAAGCAGCAGTTCTCAAACTTCATTGCACTGCGAGCCTCTTCTGATAACACAAATTACTTCATGACTCCAGGAGAGGTGACCAAAGACTGAGCCCATCCAAGCCTCACTGTCCTGGTGTAAAGCTAAAGCCCAAGCCTCACCAGTCTGGGGGAGAGAGGGGAAACTGAAGCTTAAGAGCTACAGCCCCAGGCAGGGGATCTGCAACCTGAGCCTTGCTGCCCAGGACTGAAGCCTTCAGGCTTTCGCTTTGGCCCTGGGTGGTGGCTTCAGTCCCAGGCCCCAGCAAGTTTAAACTAGTGCAGGAGACTCAATTCAAAGGGGGTCCCATGCCACAGTTTGAGAACTGCTGAAATAAAGCATTCGTTGTCCCTTACTCTGTCATTTCCTCAGGTGAAAATGGAAAGTGCTCAGATGACCATGCTCTTGAGTTGAACCAGTGGCTTAAAAACTCATGCAGTTACACTCACTGATGGAGTGAAATGAAAAGCAAATGCACTTTTTAGGAGCATATTAGTACTAAACGACCCTTCAGGTTGCTGGCACATGTAAACACATTTTTAAAACACAGGTTACACACCTTCTTGGAGAGACGGCAAGATAATTCTTTGATTTCTGATTCTAGCTAGCTCTGCTCTTATCAGATTTTACATTGCATAGCATTGGAGTCAGAAAAAATCTTTAAAAACCACCTGAATTGGTCAGCAATAAGAGAAGTAAGAGCAGGAGGAAAATAGGAAAATATAAACTCAAAGCTTTAGGGAGCACTACTGAGACAATATATGCCACGGATTTGTACGATCATCTTGGTTTACAGAGAGCACTATGATTGCAGAGGGTTTACACAAATCCCTATGTATAGTTTAGGTTCTAGCTTTATGAGAGCTTAGTACCTGGGGCAATTTTCATTCTGTGTGAAATTAACAAAATCATACTGCAACATGTTTAAGCGAGAATATAGAACTCAGAATACTTTACATTACAGCACATGCATACAATAGCTATTTACCACCCTCCTGGGTCTGCTGATTGGTTTAGAAAGAAGCTGGATTCAGATTAATCGGGAATAACAAAGCCTGTAATTTGTTTCTTGGCCTAACATATCTTATTATATTTTGTAATGTGTCAGTCTGACCATGCAGAGGTCCCAGCTTTTACATTATAAAGAGGCACATAAAAGAACTTGTTAAAAGATGAATTTTAGGGTTTGTATAATATGATTAGAAAAAAAGAATTTCCTTTTGCCACAGCCTATGTTATATTTTATTATAGTAAATTGCTATAGTAAGGATGTTAAAGTAAATCTTTATATAGTAATTATCTCCTCTCCCATCTCTAATTTTCTATTACATTATGTGCTCCAGCACTGGTGACCTATATCTTCTCCCTGACAATCCTTTTGGGGATTTTTCCTTTCCTTTTGCTCAATTCTTTTATTTTGTTTGCTTGTTTGTTTTTTTTCAAAGCTGTGCCTAAAGAAAATGAGAACTTATTTTATTCAAAATGATTTACATTAATAATGATGCATTATTACTTAGATTGCCCTTTTGATGTAGTAATACAAATTATAATGTTTACAAAGCATAAGTGATTTGATGTTCCGGACTTAAATATTTTGCTACAGAGAAATATAATCTGTAAGATATTTTTGTTCACTAAGTGCATTCTTTTTTTCTATTTTAAATACTTCGAAGATTTGTGCAGCTAAAGCTATTTTCTAGTTTTTATATTATAGGAGCAATTGTCTTGTTGTCAGGGAAGACTATAATACAATAAATAATTTGTGGTGTGTACAAAATGTTCAGTGGGAGTTTTTACACTTTCTGAAAATGGCAAAATAATTTCTCTTTCATACCATTCACTAGAAAGGGTTTATGTATTACTCACAAAAAAATCAAAGGGATATATAACTGTTTTCAGTAGAGTAAGTAGAAATATGTATATATTTATGAAGTAAATGCATTTCTTAGATGTCTGGCAATTATTCACTGCAATTTTGCTGCTGTTAGACTCCAAGAATGAAAATGTTCAGTAAAGGGACCAAAATGATATTTTTAGAAATAAGGTATATTATGACTATCTGAAAGTTTATGAAGATGAAATGGTAATTTTTATGGTTTCAAATAAGATGAGGGCCATATAATTTGCTATAATATAAAATAGTCCATGGCTTAGTACAGTGCCATGATTTATACTGTACATGTAGCATTAACTATATGTTTCACAGGTTCATTAGATTTTTTCCATAATTGCTGTTGATGTTATGATCTCCATTTTATGTTACATTTACTGATCTCTTCCTTGGGTTACACTGAAAAAAAGCCAACATTCCTCACAATCTCTTTAACTTTCAATGATCAAATAAAAACAAAAAATAGAATCTGGAAAGGTCCCAGGCAATGTCCCAAAGACACTACTTTTCATTCCCAAGACCAGAGTTTAGAGTAGCACTATTATCCTGAAATAGTTCATGATTTAACACCTACCCCAGAATAGGGAACTACATTCCTGCATTGCATTAGGCTGCTAAGAAAAAATCTTGAATTCTAATTTCACAGGCAATTAAAAGAGAACCTGATTCTCAGGTACTATAGCATTAAGAGGTGAAAAGATTTCAGTGTCAGCTAATTTTATGGAAACAGGTTCTAAAACAAAAATAAGTGCAGGCCCAACTCAGGCAAGGCCAATGTTTTAATCCCTTTGTGGAAAAGAGCCTCAACCAAGTCTCCTTGCTTAGCCAGTTCTACTACTAATCTCTGCTCTCTTCCCAAGTTACTACTAGGGAGGAGTTTTTACAGAGGTTCTTGATGCTCTTTAGCCAGGAGCCATTCCTTTTTACCTCAGTCCGTGCCTCATACTTCAGCAACAGACTTTATCCAATAGTGAATTTCCTTGGTCAAGATCATCCTCCTTCTGTGACAGAGATCTTAGAGGGAGAAAATCTCCATGAGGATGCCCTGGAAAAGCACTCTCTCTCCTAAATCCTAAAGAAGGTGTGATTTTTTCCGTAGAAAAGTGAAAAAACTGTATTTCTTTTTTATTTTCTTAATTGATTTCCACAGGACTTTAGGTGGGATGATTTGCAGTCCCTGCCTAGTCCTCCCTCAAGCCTATTCAATCTCCATACCCTTTTCCAGTGGAGACCCTCTACAGGATTCAAAATGATGGGGAAGGGGTGGCAAGTAGTACCACCAAAATGGCTCATCGTTTCTTTTGATGGAAGGTGGGGGATCTAAGCATGGAGTGTTTCAATTCATGAATAGGACTAGGAGACATAAGCTGGCCCCTAGTGTGTCAATGATCAGACAGGCCCTTTGCAGTGTATTTCAAACTGTTTGGGTCTATACTGAGACAGACCCGGACCAGTTGGTTGCAATAGTCTGGTAGAAGGTAAATGTGCTGGCCATTGGCTGAGTAGCTTTCTGTTTCTTGAGTGACCAGGGCAGGAGCTGCTTCAGACTAATCATTATCCTGCAATATTGATGACTTAACACCTAATCCAGAAGAGGGAACTATATTCCTTGCCTCCCGTTAGGTTGCTAAAAGAAAATCTTCAATTCTAATATCACAGGTTGAAAGAGACGCTGACTCTCAGGTACCATAGCAGTAAGAGCGACGAAGAGTCCTGTGGCACCTTATAGACTAACACGGCTACCCCTCTGATACATAACAGTAAGAGGTGCAAAGATTTCAATGGCAGCTCATTTTATGGAAACAAGCAACAGGAATGTACTAGAGCACATTAAGAACTTGCTAGAGGCAATTAAGAGAGACAGAAAAATCAGAACACCTGCAGCCAGAGCTGGATTATCTAATAGGCAGACTAAGCATGTGCTTAGGGCACCAGCAAAGCAGAGACACCAAAAAAAAAAAAGATATATTTTTGAAAAAATTTGATATTTGATATTTCAAAAAAAAGCATCGAAATAGTCATCATGGGAAAAATCAGAACTCCTCAGAATGCCCTTTTTCTCAGCTGAAAAGAATAAAAAACCCTCAGAGAACAACAATGTGTCAGGACAGATTTGATTCACTTTCCCTATTGTGTATGGAAGCAGACCTGCTTCGTCGAGTCAGCTTCGATGAACTTATCCAGAATTTTGCAATCAGAAAATCTAGAAAGAAGCTATTTTAATTTCAGCATACACGTAAGTTTTGTGTCATTTTGAAAAATAAAATTTTATTTTACGGTATAGTATTGTTTTTATTTTGAATTACATATGGGGGGCACCATAATCTTTTCAGTGTTTAGGGCCTCTAAAGGTCTTAATCCGGCCCTGCCTGCAGCCCATGAAGAACCTGCTGGGACTAGTTTAAGAGGCTCCCTTTCAGGGAGGGCAGGGGGCTAGTAAGGTAGGGTATGTCTACACTACCCCACTAGTTCGAACTAGCGGGGGAATGTAGGCATACCGCAATTGCAAAAGAAGCCCGGGATTTGAATTTCCCGGGCTTCATTTGCATAAGCGGGGCGCCGCCATTTTAAAATCCCCGCTCGTTCGAACCCCGTGCAGCGCGGGTACACGGGGCACGAACTAAGTAGTTCGAACTAGGCTTCCTAGTTTGAACTACCGTTACTCCTCATTCCACGAGGAGTAACGGTAGTTTGAACTAGGAAGCCTAGTTCGAACTACCTA